TCTAGAGGTCCATGTCCCTGGGCTGTTTTCTGTGCTGTAAAGGTCTGTAAGAACGAAGTTGTAATGATAATAATCCTCATAACTCATAGTTTATAGCGCTCTTCACACTGCCCCTTCTTCGCAGAGAAAAAAACAGAAGCCAGAGGTACCGGGGGTGGCATCTCAGGAACTAAAAAACAAAGGCAGAAACACAGTTCAGGGGAGCGGATATACAGGTGATTGACTCACTGAAAAACCATCTATTGATTTTGCCAGGGCTAAAATATTATATTTAGCTTTTTGTACCAAAGTAGTAGAGTATTTCAATTAATATGAGGGAAAAGGTGTGACAGCGAGTGGGGTATTATCATACATGCGTGGTCCTGAGGTGGAAACCCGGATCGATATTCGCCCAAGCCATCGGTACTAATCCAGGCCTTCCATTCCTCTGGAGTTAGTTAATTAGTACAGGGGTCGTCTGGGAGGATGAAAGCGTTGATTTGAATAACGGCTGACCACCGCAAGTCATTTATGTCTCTGCACGCTACATACACAATCAATAGCCCTCTACGGTTTTGGGTTGAAGCCGAATGCGGGGCGCATTCCAAAATGGGATCGATTAACACCAAAGACTTTTCTTTTATCATTCATTCATTCATCATTTAATCAAATTATTGTTATTTCATTGAATTAGTGGTCCAAGGCCATCGATTCCCTTTTTGCTTTTAAATGTGACTTTACAAAAAGTTTTGTCAAGCGGATAGCAGTGTTTTACAAAGTCGTACAGGTGGAGTAGCAAGCATGGAACACCCAGGTATTTTTCAGGTTCAACAAAACTCAGAAAACGTTCACATTGTTATTCTAACGTTTCAGCATGTGCACTTCAAACGAACCGACATCAATGACGAGTGCCTTTGTCTAGCCGTAAAACTCATGACACCAAGTGGACGGCCAAAGAAAAAACAGTTTTTGTGGGTTTTAAACTGGCCGTTCGATGGCTTCTCAAATGTGTTTCGTATGAAGCGATATGAGTTTAAACTGCACTTGATCAGAAATCGGGTTTTTTGTTATTGTAAGAAAAGTAGTAATGACCGATGAGTTTGAAAAAGGGTCTTGCAGCAGCGTTGTTCTGTTTTGATCAAAGAAAAGCTAGAAACACCAGGAACCAGGCCAAGTGTTTTTCGTGGTCCCGTCCATAGAGAACATTTTTGTACATATATCAACGTCGTACCCAGACAGGCACGAAACGGGAAATTGACCAGATCCGGCAAAAATTATGCAAATCTCATGGATGGATGTCATGGCAAGCATTTCCGATGAGAGGTCAAAGAAATATGGGATGCGGTGCTTTGAACTCTTCCACGATGATTCAGGGTAGATTAGGGTCAGCCCCTAAGGGTGGGCCCCCAGATTGGTCCAGGCAAAAAAGATTTGTTAAAGAGCTGGACCGGTGCAGAAGGAGATTCTGACTAACTCGTTTTGGTTGGACCACCCAAAAGTTGGGATGAAGGGTTTTTTGTTCAGGAGGTCTTTAAAAAAGGTCTGAATTTCGGAAAAATTTGAAAAAAGTATAAATGCATGTCCAGCCTTGTCCTATCTGTCGAGGCCCCTCTCACTTGGCCACTACATTTTCCGATGATTTCTCTGCACTCCGTCCTGTGCAGAATACCTTTTTTCTACGTAATAGATGGAAATGATCAGTGATAATATAGCATTACTCTATATAACAAGTAACATTCTACTACTTAGTAATTTTAAATTTTTTCCTCAAACTTTGAATTTCCGCCCTAACAGCTGGCGAAGGTGTGAATCTTGGGCGTGGGACCTGAAGAGCAAATTTGATTTCATTGGTTTTACGCATCTGCATACTGCTGCATATTGTCAGCGCAGAGCGAGGGCGGATGAAACGGGGAACTTTTGAAACTACAAAAAGATCAGAACTAAACCAAAAAAAACCGATAACGCATGCGAACTTTGTGAATGTTGGCAAGGTGCCCAGAATCATGCTGGAACTAAAAAATGGCCCTTTCAAAAAATCCAAAAAGACCCCTTCAAAAAATTTAGAAACCTTAAACCGTCATAGAGGAGACTTGTCCCAGATAGCCCAGCAATTATTCATAGGCCGTTCGCTTTTGACTAGCTAGCCAAACTAGCTACTTTTCCGTGCATCTTTAGCAGGAGCAAAGCCAAGCCGACGTTAGAAGAACTTTTCCTGATTGAATCAGATGTAAAGAGGGCTTTTGATTCAATTTATTACAATACCTTCAATTCTGTACACATGTTTCGATCAAAAATAATAATAATAACCACAGGTTGAGAAGTAATACACGTATTTTCATGAGAGGACGTGATATATATGGGATGTGTATTGGCTCAGAGACTCTGTGTACACACCATACATACATATACTCTATAGTAATGAGGTGAATGATGACACGCGGGAACTCGTAGTAGTAATAACCTATTTTTGTTTTTTTCTCATAAAAAAGTTTCCTTAATTGATTTCCCAAATGTGGCTGAGAACAGCGTTAAATGCCGTGGACAGCTATTTGTTGAGGAAGTCATCGTGTCATCGGTGTCCTCCAAGGGATCACCAACAAGAGCTTCAGCTCGTCTACATTCTACACATGACGTTGATTTTGTGAAGGCGGAAGATGTGGTGGATGTATTGAGCAATGTCGTCAGCGATCTTTTCATACCATGAGCGGCTGATGACGGACGTGATTGAGGCAGTAGTGGACGGTGTTCGTTAGCTGCCGCATCCTCATCACTTACATCCTCCGTTGTCGCTCGGGAACCTGGCATACTCGGTTCTGCCGCCGTCGTTGATAGGCCTCGTCCCATGGACATATTCGGGAGCGACATCTAAAATCACAAATTTGGGACTATAGGTAAACCCTATGGAAAACGACGTCACTTTTGATGGCGTCGTCACGTAGCACAAGCAGGACATCAGTTCTGTTCTAAGGTATTCACGGAGCCACGCAACGTCCACTGCTCTATGAAGACCTATAAACAAAACAACAATACAGGACAAAACAAAGTTAGTAACACATCAAGCTCAAGTCGTGAAATCAGCGACATCCGGTTAGTTTGGACAGGGAAAACCCCTACTTGTGCTTGGGGTAAAGTAGGAAGTCAGCTAGGTTTGCGCCTAGTTATACGATCGCTTTCTCCCTCTCCCTATCTCCGGTTCCCCTTCATAGAAGCTCTCTTCGAAGTTGGGAAAGGTACGGCGCTGTGGTCTGAGATGAACTTCAGGGACGTCATAATGACGTAGTGGAATAGCTATTCTCCCGATCATGACTATACCCACAGATGTTCTGGGTTCCCGGACAGAACTCAACTGTACGGAACATCCACTACGTCATGAATCAGGCAAACACAAAGATTAGTTGAAAACCAAAAACTTCAGAGATTTTCATAGGCAAACATTCATTCAATTACTCAGAACGGTTACCTGTTGAATCAGAGAATCAATAGGGTCCTACCTAGCAAAGTACCCGGGAACCCCATGCCAGAAAAACCTTCCTTACCCCTTATCGAGCACTTTCAAGCCATCATACGTTATTGGGTCGATTGAGACAACGGTCAGAATGAAGAAATTTTCACGTATTCAAAATGATCCCTTCATATATAGGGTTTTTAGGACCCCAGATGAATGCGTGGCTGATACAAAAAAAGTTGAATGCGAGAGTAATGGCTCATTGCCTACCCCCATTCTTATTCAATATACCGTGATGGCAGTTATACGGGCAATATGGTGCCCTTTAAAGACTTTTGAGAAGTATGAACAATATATGGGCCATTTTCAGCTCAACATTGGCTACCTATTGATGGCGTTTAAATTCTGGTGGGGATTAGCTCATGGTTTTCAGGGGTAGCAGAAAAATAAGCTTCACAATGGTCATTAATGAAGTATGTAAACATGTAAGGGGTAAACATGTAGCAGTAGAGGATTCGTAAGCGTCCCTAGACAGTTATTAGTTACGAGTTAGTATTCAACGGACTGAATAACACATAAATCGGTAAGTCAGTTAAGATTCAACATAAATTTGGCCCATAACTTAAACTCCCTATCTATCATTTCTATCTCCCATACCCTTCCCTATCCCTATCTGCCCAACAGTTTTATCGTCCCTGGATCAGATTGGTTCCAGCCATCAGACTTGGACCCTCAGCTCCTGTGATTCTGACACAGCTGATCCATTGACACCCATGAACCTCATGACATCACCGAACTCCCTGACATGCCTTCTTCCCAAAAGACCTCTGGTTCACTCTTACCCATAACCACCCATGCACAGGAGGATTTTACCCTTTCGCTCTTACGTGAGGATTCTGTTAACCTAGTAGTCATAACCAATAAGTCAACTCCGGAGAACAAGTCGCATAGTACTAATCCATCTCGGATTCCTTGCTTTCTGCGGGGTTTTTCCGGACCGCAGGAAAAGCAGCTGGGAGGTCCTTGGCTCAGGAAATACCTCGCTGTCTCTCTCGTTCATCCCTCTGCTTACCGATGTTTACTTTGATCCTGCGACTATCTATGCCTCCCAAATACCTCCCAGCTGCTTCAGTGCCTGACTTAGCTGGTCCAACTCCCCGCCCGCCCTCCCTCCGCTACTTTCGCTCCTCTCCCCGAGTCTCCCGTACCTATGCCCTGAGAAAATTGGTCTGTGTGCAAATAACGGAGGCATCTGCTCGAGAAGATATTAAGGCTCACCTTTTTACTGAAGTCTGAGCTACTATGACCTCTGAATCGGGCACTGTTCTGCCGTATACTGCTGTTCGATTCGTCACGATAGTTCACCGATGGCTGTCGATCATGATTTGAACTGTAATTGTTAAGGTTACTGTAGGTGTGTGTGTCATTAGGTCATAATTCTTGAAGACTATGTGACAAATGGGTATCGAATATGATAAGTGGGAGAAGAAATTTTTTTCCCGGTTCAGCGGGATGTGCCTGTGGTGACACGTTTCGCGAATAACGTGAGTGCAGCTGTTCGTGAAGCTCTCAGGTATCATATAACTACTCTACAGCGGCGAAAAGCAGCATTACCCGATATTCCTATGTGGGGTATCCTTCTTGGCCCACACACACTACCTACACATCCCCACGGGCTACATGTGGACTACCCAATGGGCTGATGAAAAACGAAAGCTCAACGTACCATATGAAAGTGTCGGGAGCGATGGTGGTGTAATTTCGTGAATAAATTGAAGATGGATCCCGTACAGTATGACAACACTGGCAACGAAGAATACGTACAAATGCTTGACGGAAACGCTTATTGAATACGGTATAAATGATTGGATTGACGGTGCTTGAAATGTAGCCAAGCCATAGAAATACAGATCCAAGCCATGGTGGTACAGAACACAGGGCACCACAGAATCCAACTATGAAATTGGCCACGAAAAATGGGGTCCAACAGATGAAAAAACAGATNAATACCACGGCCAGTACACGTGTAGCCTTGTGCTCATTGGCAAGTTCTTGACTGGCAGCCTGAAATGGAAATCTCTCAGCAAAGGATTAAAGTTTTTAGCCCAGGCAGTCCCCATTTTGGATAGCGCCCACCCAGGATCGCGCCCACCCATACGACCTCCCACGCAGAATGGTCGCAGTGTTTGGATGCGTATTTGAACTGGGTTGGGTTCAAATAATGTACTGATTAGAATTTTTACTCTCATGGATCGGGGTCTGCTGCCGACTAGCCACTCCCGAGACTAAAAATCCGGTTCGATATCGATTCTGTTCTTCGATCCTCTACCATATGAGCAATAATAGCGCCACATGGCACTACCCCATTTCCGTCTTATATGTATGTGAATGTGTTCTGAATAATGTTCACTTGATATCAGACTTTGAATTGGATCTACTCAAAAAATGCCTTTACTGCAAATCAGCTGTCGCTCTGAAAGATTGAGATCTTTCAAGATTTGCAGCCCCATACGAAGTTTTTGGAAGACCAGAAATCACTGGCTGCGAAAGTAAAGTGATTCAAAATGCCATTTTAATGGTCCCTACATCGTTCACAGCCAATTTAAACAAGTAATTCACGAGTAAGATACACTTGTAAAAGCTGTGGTAACCCTTTTTCAAGTTCATCGCATATCTACACAATATAATGGAGGGAAAAGGTGGGAACAGCACTTCTTTCGTCCCCACCATCCCCGTCCCCGCTTCTCCCGTGGGAATTCCGCTTTCATTTCCTCCGACAACTTTTACATTTAGGCAATCTCCTCACCTACGATGATGGATGATTTGAATAGTGTTAGTCTTTGAAAAATTGTTTTCTGGAGGAAATTATTGATCCCATCCGAAATTTCAGATTATTTTGCAATTTTGCAACTATTTGTCCTCAGTGGCTAATGGCAAAAGTGCATTTCAAACGGGGGTTTGCAAAGACTTTATTGAAAATTAATGATATTGAATTCCTCAGTATGCGGTTTCCCGTTGGCATAATACTAAGAATTCATTTCCGCTAATGCAGACGAATGCATCAAGTAATGTAAATGAGGGAATTCCATGTGATACCATTAAAATTGCCTAATATTATAAAGGCCTTGAGCAGGATGAAGGTGTAGATCATGGAAATCAATCGATTTGCTTATTTGGCGGGAAAATTGGCGGGAAAATTTGAATTCCTAAATAACCAAAAGAGGCTCTCGTGAAGAGGTTTTAGTTCAACAGATGGAAATTCAAAAAGCTATCTGCTCGAAAACCCTTTTAATTTAATTTCCTTTGTCAAAATTACATTTCTGCTACTTTTTGACGTCGGGGGTCCAAAAAGATCAGGGACATCGCAAGGCATGTATAAAATAGCAAATGAAACGTTCACGGAGGAGAATACGGTCGTTTACATGAAGCGCGAGAGCAAAGAGAAAAAGATAGGGTTACATCGACATGACATACACTGACTGACCTGCAATGAATTCCGTCGAGCAACTCTTTGAGCGATATTAGTCAAGTAACTAGAAGTTCTCGTTTTCCAGCGATGTATAGTGGATCGTTTTGTTGGTGATTTATGTGATAGCAGGCTATGATTTTCCGTCATACGTGAAGTAGGCGGTGGTGGTTGCTGTTGTTGAGTGGATGGCGGTGGTGGTGGCGGAGGTTCCATATCAACAACGGAATTCTGATAGCCATTTGAATAAGTGATCGTATTGGCTTTGGGACCGTAGAAACTTGATTTCAGTGTACTACTGGTAAATGTAGCCGCAGTGGATGTTGAGTTAGTACGGACGTGTCCGAGTTTCCTATGTGGCATTGTGCGACGTAATCCATTTCCGTTCAGCTTATCATTGGCTTTCTGGCTAAGTATTGATGCCTGTTTATTGAGTAATGTAGTAGTTCGTAGGTAAGTAACGAACATCACACAGAACGGTATTAGGAATGTCAGCGTCGAACCGTATATGATATAGTGACGACTGAATATTGTACAGGAGTTATTCTGTAGTATGTAGGTATGGTCATAAGATGCCAGTACGGCTATAGGGCAGGACACGATCAACGTGATAATCCAGACGAGACAAATCTTCACAATAATCATCGTTTTTGATTTGTTCCTTGTACGAAGTGGTTGTGATATGCCCAAATAACGATCCAATGATATAACGGACATATGAACGATACTGGCACTACATAGGAATACATCGGCATAGACATAAAGCAGGCACAATGACACATTCCACGTCCACACACCTGAAAGTAGCCCAAACGAATAATTTTATTGGACTAGTTGATTTAGTCTCGCCTCAGTCATCTCATCAAATACACATTCACTTTGGCCCGTTTTCGAAATTGCCACCGTTTCTACGGGAAAAAGTGACATGATGTGACGAATGCGGCATTGAAACGAACTCTGCCCAAACGCCTATGTCACCCCACCAAAGCATTAGGGGGCAAAGTAATAAGGAAAAAGAAAATAAAACTTGTATATAATCACCATGCTTAACTTCGACGATAATACTTAATGGCATAACCAGTAAACAGACAAGTAAATCGGCTAGGGCTAATGAGAAAAGAAAATAATTGGTAACATTATGTAGACGTCGATCGGTTGCAATAGCAATACAGACCATAGCATTGCCGATTAATCCAACAAGACAAAGTATTGGCAGTAGTAATAAAGCGAGTACATTTGGTGTATGTACACCGGTACCGCCACGCCCGCTGGCAGTCAGATGTACGCGAACAGAGGAGAAAGTCCATTGCGACATGAGATTATGTCATTGGGCGTCGTCGTGGCGGGGAAGGGGGGAGATTCGAGCGGGGAGGGGGGTACGGTGAGCAGAGCACGATGTGGGAAAGGAAGGATAGATTGCCTGACCGGAAATCGGAATGAATAATCCCAGTCGGTGAAGAGGAAATGGAATTTTGCTAAGCCGCCACTACCAACAGAAGTAGCAGCAGCAGCAACAGCAGCAGCAGCAGCAGCAGCAGCANCTTTGATTTAGGTCAAGTGCTCATCAATGGGCACACCCTGAAAACAAGTCGCTGAAGAATTGTCCCATGGGAGCTTCTTCCCCGGGGAGTTGCTAAAAGAGCTCATAGATTCTTGGTAACTCAAAAAGGAGACTTAGTAATCAAGTAAAGGTACACTGAGAGTCATGAACTTTGCTTTGACACAGGCCAAGTGCTCATCAATGGGCTGACCCTCCAACAAGCCCTTGGAGGATTGCCCCATGGGAGTTTTTTCCTTCGGGAAGTTCTAAAACCGCTCAAGGATACCTGATACCTCAAAAAAAAAAGGCCAGAACGACGAGAAACCAATCCTTTCACGTGGTTTACTTCTTTACTTTAACCAATAAGTGTTAAGTAAGCTTGCCCCAGCAGCGTTCAACCTAGTGCTTTGAAATCAAAAAACACTTGACGCCTACCTAGATCATTTTTCATATGCACAGGTGCAAAATGGGTATAAAAACTGGTATACCTGTCCAGCCCATTACCTTGGTCTTTGGTGACTGAGGTTTTTCGGGTTCGTCTGACAAGTATAAAGCTCGCAGTAACTTTAATCTGTAATAAGTCAACAATGATAATGGCTTATAGCTTATAATTTCCTGTTTAAACTGGCTTATATGAGGGAAGAAAGTGCAGGCCCAGGGGGGTGCAAGCGGATAGAAAGGCGGAAGTCATAAGATGGAAATCGGAATGCCTAATGCATAAAAAATGATGTATAGACAAAAGGTATCGAGCCGCGGGGCTATGTGGGAAGTAGTAGTAGTCAGATAACGGGAGGCCCGAAGTGAAATCGGCTGGGAGCTGGGAGCTGGGAGAAGAATTCCCCCACGCTTCATTTTCACCCTCTCAACAGTTGCATATCTGTCTTTGTCTAAGCCACATGTCCGGGAATGTCACTTATTTTGTTGGAATGATTGAAAAGAATGTGTGCATGTGTACTGGGGTGTTGAAAATGTGTTCGTCATGGCCATCCCCTTTAGAAAGAAGAAAAATCGAGCAACACATATGTGTAGTTCTATGACCGTCGTTGAATGTCCTAGGGGTTGCGTGATGAATTGCAACCGGATACTTAAGTGGGAAGTGGGACTACCACCACCACCACGTGATTTGGGACATCGGTATAGACCCAAATGAGGTCTGACGAGGGCTGTTTTTTACCCCACGTCCACATAGTACCTACCAAATGGGGTCATAACGGGGACTTGTTTATCGCCAAATGACACATCCGTTTCATGGTTGTAGCCGTAGCCGTTCCAAGTATCTTTTTTCCTCTCTAATGAAGCCGGTAATCGAGCTTTTACTAATATGGATTACTTTTCAAACAGCTAAAAACAGGCCTCGGTTTTCTGACGGATTTTTATGATTAATTATATGGCTTGAAACCGTATGCATTGGAAATTATAAAGATCAGAAATCTTTGAAAAATGTGTAGCCAAATAAAGAGCTCGACTTCGGCAGGCTAGGGGACCAGCTTTTTTATGTTTATTGTTTTGTATTTTTCTTTAATGACAATATCCGGAGCAAAGACAAAGGGTATACTTTCGAAAATCCGGGGGAAAGAGCTGCAATCGAATCCTCCACGATATTTGCCGTTCCACTTGGCGGCGAAGCATAAACAGATGTTCTTTTTGTAAATCTGTTGGGGCTCTACGGACGACGACGGGCCGGGCCGGGCGGGGAGGAGGGAAGGTATGGGGAGGGAAATGAAGGAGATTGCTGCATGGAGAACATCTGTTGACATAAGACAAAACGAGATGGCCAACTCTTTCATACTTCGTTGACGAGAGGTATTGCTTTTTACTATGTGGTATGAGGTGGGATCTTGACTTGTTACCGATGATGACAAGTTAGCAAACATATAGTGGAACTTGTTCGAACTCTTCAGACCAGATCCCAAGAGAAAAAGATTTCTGGTACCTTCTGGGTTTTTTGGGAGCTCTCACAATAAGGTTGATCCTGATGTTTCACTTCCAAATGGAACAACTTCAGCCGAAATGCCATTCTATTTTTGGAAACCTGGCAGAAGCGTTGTTCCAGTGGCTTTTCGGAGTCTCGAAAAACAAAATAGGGAAGACAACCAATTTTCTCGTGGAAGGAAAAAGTCGAGATCTGGACATCCAATTCTGGCCCTGACAACCCGACCTAGGAAAAAATGCTTGAGAAATCGTTGACCACACGAGTTTCAGTCGAATACCATGGCTGAAAAGGTCCTTCAACCAGGGTTTCCCGTCATGAATTCCGGATAAGGCTGTACCATAATTGTGCTGATTGCTTGGATTCCTTTGCAAAGTGGATGCGACTCTTCGGAGCCTCTTCTTTCGCTCATTGAACAATTCTACGTTAATGAATGAATGGACGTACGTACGCAGAAGTGTTTGGTCAACATAATTGTCCCATGGGGAGTACACTTTTTTAGCCCCGTGAATGTCAGGGAATGTTTTCATTCATCCCCGTACATCTCTGGGAGTTTGGACCATATTGCTACCCCATATCCATGTTTTGATCGAGGAGCTATGGAACCGCATTCTCTAGGAGATCCCCGGAACTGAAATAGGTATCCATAGTAGCAACCCAAGCCGGCCCCGAAGGTAANGGTTGACTGGGAAATGAGTTCAATTTGAAATATTCTCAGGGATGATACTTTACAAAACCAGCACTCTTGAGGGGGTTTGAATGATCTTCGAGTAGTGGCCATGGAAAGCCGTCCAGTTCACACGCTGCATACACTCATAAGTGTCAAGTCGCCATGAATATTCCCGTTGCAAGCCAAGCCACTTCCCTATCGGAATTTGAGACAACATGGACCAACACCACCACTTTTCATCTCTACCTCCTCCTCCTCCTCATTGTTTGGTGTTGGCGTCGGTTTTCGTTTTCGCCACCTTTGGACAACGCCAATTGTTCCATCTATGCGTAATTGAATGCCATTGAAGGCGGCTCACCTTCGGTCTGTGATGCTTTGGCCCCGTAAAAGTCTCTGAATCGACGACACTGTCCAAATAATGGCTCAGATATTGCGCTACGGAGGCATGGGACATGTGTTTCACTTCAACACGAAAAGTCTGTCCCCATGCACCAGATTCCCCATACTTCAGAGGATATAGGAGAGGTCTACGGTCTGAACTCGTACGTGTTGGCGACTTCCCGGATGTATCCGACTCGAGCAGTCTCGCCATGAGCAGTCTTCAGTGAAAAGATTTGAGGGAGGGAGGAACCCAAATGATATTTCTATTAAGATTTGGGGCTTTCAGGAAACAGGACTGTCTGACGCTTCTGCCTGACATGTCCATCAAACGGAAAGATACTGAAGCTACACTTCAAATTGAGACTTAGAGGAGGAGGATAAGGGAGGAGCCATCATTTAGTTGGACACTACAGCTTGCCCTGGTCTCAGATAAGCGCTGAGGATGTCGTGCCGGCCCCAACTTAACAACCTCATTAGGTGGCCGAACTCGAGCTTCCGGCACCTACACCTCTGCGGCCATCTCCATATTGGCCTGAAACTCGAGGAACCACGGCTGAGAATAAGTTGTCACGCTAGGGAACATCCTATGCTGTCTTTTCGTGAAAAGGGTCTTTGGTTTGAACCCCACTATAGCAGTATTGCTACAGCAACAGGATTCAAGAGGAGAATTTACTCGGTAGCCTTACTTAGTCCTCTCATGAGGGTCTACTATCTATGGACGCCTGGGCACTC